GAAAGACCTATTGATATATACATCTAATGGTTGCAATTTTTTTATGAGACCACCTAGAATAACTGCGATGTTGGTATTTTTTCATTAAACCAGATTTTAACTAGGTCTGTAATATGACCACGGAATGAATCCAAAACCAATAATGAACAAGGATCAATTAACAAAGAAGAACAATGACCCCAAATTTTTTCAAACCAAAAAACTATCTTATCAGAATTCATATATTCTTCCTTATTGGCTTGTATAATAATGTCTGGTGAGAATATTTGTCATGGTATGTTTATTAGTTTAAAAATTATCATAGGAGACAATTTGGTGCTATCGGCTAAACAACTTGAAATGACTGTAAAATTAGATTTTTCATGCCCGGTTGTATAGATTCTGACTATGTGAGCTCCAGTTTCTTCAACTGTAACATTATTAGGCATGTCAAAAGTTTATGGCATCTCATCCATATTTGCAATAAGTGAAAGAGGATAGTTGTAATGTATGTGATGAAATAATATATAACTTAAAAATTTATCTATTTTGAATTCTAACTCTTCTGGTAATCTTTGTGCAACAGTAGTATGGCATCTATTGCTTAATTTATTGTGGCGCATAAAACATTCAAGCCATTTATTACTCCATTTACATTTGTTAATCTTTGGACAAGATGTAGCAAATTGTGGGGCAGGTTGTTTGGCTTTTGCTCTAATCATATACCGAGTTATAGCCTTTTGTTTTAAATGTAAAGATTTAATCCAAGACACAAGATCAGCTTCTAAGAGTGGATATTTTGGACATGCATCAATATTTAGATGTTTAACATAAGGTGGGGCATTTTTTAACTCTTTTTTTTTTTTTAATTCATTTACGTAATTGTTTTGGGCTTATGCTAAACCATTCTGCAGTGTTTCATTTACTAGCTGCAGGGTTCCATTCTAGATATGTAATAATTGCTAACTTCTCACGAACATTTCAGCTTCTTTTTTTTTTCTTAGTTATTCTTGCATCCTTTAAAATTGTTCTGTTCTGTTTCATTTTATACTCAACTCTATTTATGTGCTAATATATTATTTTTATGTAAATTTAAAACAAAATAAATCTTTACTTATTACCTTTGGCTCAAAACTTGCTTTAACACTTAAAACTTGTTTTTTAACACAATAAAAATATAAGTCGCAATGATTTTTTTGATTATAAATATATAATAAATGATTTACATATGTTGGTTGTATTAATAAGTCAATTATACTAGTGTTTAATAGTTTACCAGTTTACCTCTAATAGTTTATTGCATTTTACAAGAAAGTTTAAAATTTAATTGTTCTTATTTGTTAAGTCATAACACTGGTTATTATAAAAGCTTTTTTTTTTTGGTTCTTTATTATTAAATTTTTGGTTTCTTTTACTGGTTTTTTCATCATCACTATAAATTTCGTTTTTTGTTTTCATTATCTGAATTATTGTAGTTTTCTTAAGCAAAATAAATCGTTAAGCTTTGAATTTACCTTAAGTAATTTATAATAATGCTATATTGATATGTATCAACTATAATTTGAACGATGTTAAAAGAACGTCTAAAATATATTTATACGTATTAAATAACGACAAATAAATATGCCATAACTTAATGTATGTACTAAATAGTACTAGATCCCCCACATAAAAACCCCCCTAGCTATCAGACCTATATCCGTACAAAAGACCCACGGGTCTATAACTAGGTTTTAAAATTGGTGAAATGTAACAGACCCGGGTCTTGTATCCGGCCATTTACGGTAATTGGCTAAAATTTTTATTTATTAAAAAATTTTAGAAATTAACCAATAGCAAGAGGTCAAAGCATGTGATTAGTCCCATTTTTATTGATTTTTTGAAGCATCATATAAAGTTAAGTGTATTTAAAATGTTATAAATCAAAAACACACATGATTATTTCAAAAATAAGGCAACTAATTTGTAGTAAATTAACTTAGCTACAAATTGGTGGCTTCTTTTTCTTTATATCATAAGCTATTGGCTTTTAAAATAATTTTAGTCTTTAAGTGTCGTGCACTGTATATTTTTGATCAATTAAGAAAATTAATTAAAAACTTTTAAAAGATAGAATTAATATAAATAGGGATCATAAATAAGTAGGTTAGAATACTTCTGGTTAAACCGGAAACAGGATATATTAATATTAGACAATTTCTTTCTATTTGTCAGTTATATTCGATCAATAATTGATTCAATAATTTGTAAATTTCATAATTGATCGATTATACTCAATCAAGGTCATATAATCGAATTTTAATCGATCAAGTAAAAATTTTTTCGATTAAAAATATTTTTGTCGAGTCAATTGACTACGGTTAGGTCAGCCATTAAACCTTATCGAGCACACAATGATTTAACATCATGTGAGAGAGCACGTGTGGCCAAATAAGTACAATTAAATTAATTGCCTAATTTAAAACCTTGATGTAACAGTAACGGTTATCGCCAAAATATCTTCATTGTATAAGAAACACATTATAGGCAAACCAGTGACCACAGCCCTCGTCCCATGTAGGAACCATGTAGATCCACGTAGAATCTGCCATTTTGTGGTACTTAAATTTTGCGGCTGATGCACGCGTCGCGAATTTAACTGATAATGTTCTATTGCTGGGAGCATATCTCATCTCGGTTTATACATCAATTGCACTAATGTATAGCTTAGATGCATCCAAATATTTATACATCCATATCACATGCGTACAATGCTTTCCGAATTAAAAAAAAACTTATAACAAAATAAAAGCTTGTGATATGTAGGTCACGT